AATAAGGCATTTGCATTTCCCTTCTGCATTCAGCTTATTGTGCCAAGCAGAGGTTAGAAGGCAAGACTTGATGGGGGGGGAGGGCAGCATCACCCCCTTTGAGGAGGACCTTGAACCCCAGCCTGTTGCAGGGCCTCTGGAGCAGTTTGGGGCAGGGAGGCCTGAAAGTCCAGCAGGGGCCTCTCTTAATCTTGGGGATGGAGCATGCAGAAGCCTTTCCAGGTCTGGGGGTTTCTTAGCGCGCCGGAGCACCTCAGCGGCTGGTTGTTCCAATATCAGGGATAACTGGACTTCTGACTTGCTTTCAGCCATTGGGCTCCCCCACAGGTGAGCACCTGCCATAGGATGTCAGTCGCCCACCTGAGCAAGCGGTTCTGCCGATGTGGGCGGACAGGGTGCCCCTTCTCCCCCGTGCCGCTCACTGCTCAGCTCCCCTGCTTCCCCTTGATTCTGACCCTGGCTCTGGGCCAGGGTCTCATGAACAGAAGCTGTGCCAAGGAAAGCAGGTCTCCTGATCACGGATAGCTGCAGGGGCTTTCTAAAAAACCTCTGCTGATCGGCATGGCTCTCCTACAGCAAGGAATTGCCCCGAACATCTTTTCCATGCGGCCCCAGGTCAGCCTTGTGCCTGGGTAATTGGGGCAAGACCGGACAGCCTCCTTTTAAAGAAGGCTGCTGACCGCATGTGCTGGTATGTGGTCAACTGCCATTCCCAAGCCTCAGGTAAACGGTTCTGCTGGAGATACTGTTTCACCAGGTTTTGGCTTCCCTAAATGGGGTTCCTTGGATGGTTGAGGTGGGGAGGAAGGGATGTAAGCCAGCACAGGGACAATAAGGCAAAGGAGGTCAATTGGTGAGCGCCTGAAGTTGCAGAGTAGGTGCATCTCAGCTTGCCTGGAACACTCTGCGGGAGTAGCTTTCAGGAAACTCAGCCTCTTGGGAGCTGGAATTAAGGGACTGAAAGCCTTTATGACCTTCCCAGTCCTTCCTTGACTGCTTTCGGATGGATGCGATGATCTCCGTCCTCTCAGGCAGCTGGAGAGAGCCGCCCTGGGGCCGGGGACTTGAATAGGCGCAAGTCAGAGCCTTCGTGGGGAGAGGCGGGAGGCAGTCAGATTCCAGCACCATTGCTTGCTCGTGTGCCAATCTTTGCTTTCTCTTTTCTGTGGCAGGCCCCTTACCCCGCAGGACAGAACGCGGCACCCACCACGCTGGTCTACCCCCAGGCCCCCCAGGCGATGAGCACGCAGCCTCAGACCCGCTCTCCGGTAAGGGAGCCCCCTTGGCTCAGCCCGGCATTTCAGCGCAACGGCGGCCTCGCCTCTTCTCGCCTGCGGCTCCCCCAGGGAGAAAGTAGCCGGGGACTCTGTTCTCCTTCCAGGGACGCGGCCCCCCTCCGGCTTCGCTGCTCCTGGCCGAGGGTTCCCTCTTGCACTGTCCTTTTGGAGAAGGGGAGAGAGCCAAGACTGAGACAGGGCCCCTTTGAGGTCCGCTCCTGCCTTCCCGGCCCAGTGCATTTCCGCCAGCGTCTGCAGTGCAAATGCAACACCCCTTTCCCTGAGGAATTTTTGGTCAGCACATCTTGGACTTTGCAAATGGTGGTGGTCTGCTGCCAGAGGAGCGTGTGCCATTGTCCTGCCCCAGATCTGATGTCCTGTTGATCCGTGCCCTTTTGCACCACAAGGCTGAGCGACAAGGCTGTGCCTGTCAAAAGTTATGGGTAGCTGTTGTGCCATAGATAGAGGCTGTCCGTTCCCTGCCCTCAGCCTGGCGCATGTCCCTTGAGAAGGAGGGCTTGTGGTGCGGGGCGGGCTGGGGAAAAGAGGCTTTTG